GGGGTGGGATGGGGGAGGGAGAGAAGGGGGCACTGAGGCTGCTGCAGAAAGCAGAGCACCCTTTTGAAACAAAATTTCAGAGCGTTCTTCTAGTAGGCCTAAATGATGACTTTCTCAAAAACTGTTCCGGCATATTGAACTTTTTTGTCATTCCCTTGAGAGCGATTCAGGTAGGTACAGGTAGTATCAGTATCTGACATTCGACAAGTAAGTGCTCAACCAGGGGGTGCATAACGCTGCAACATGATAGTGCATAGGAAATAAACGGGACAATTTGTTGTTGTTTTTGTTCGAAACTTGCAAGTGCATGCAGCGTATGGTGAGCATAGGGGGCTCGCTTTGGGGGGTGGCAGTCAGAAGAGGGGGCCCAGGACCGAGGGGGCAGCCCGTCGAGGAGGTGGCCGCCGGGGGCAGCCTAGCTGGGCGGAGGCCCCGCCCCGCCAGAGTCCCCCGCGCCAGAGGCCCCCGCCTCGGCATCGGCGGCACTGACGTACAGCGTAGGTGCGGGTCGGAGTCGCGTCACCGGCGGGTCTGGTCGGTGCGAGGCGCTCCCGGGGTTGATTTGGCCGTTTGGCCCAAAACTCCCGACACTGCCCGTTATTCTTTGATAGGGATCGTCCAGAACGTACGTTACGTCGTGTTTCCCAGATTCATTATCCGGCAAACTATACGGCAGCTCGGCGCCTGTGACCCTCGGGGTGGGCCACCCCGCAGTACACGCTTGCACTGCAGGCTAGGTGTTGCCTACCTGTCAGGCGCTATGGGAGCTTGTGTTGGCGAAACTTGGCTGGCTCGTATCGGCGAATGACGGACGTAGTTACTGAACCGTACACTTTGATAAATTATCCTTCCAGAATCGTTCTGTGGAGCGGTTTCTTTTACAGTGTAGAACAGGCTCGCACGGACGAGACAAAGATCGCGCTGCTAATGCTCTTCGACATGTATCGATTCGCGCACCGACTCGCTTCGGTAACGTATGTGATGTGTCTGCACGCTTAGAGCGATGCTGGCGAGCTTTTGGACGCCGTTTTGAAAGCTTTACAACCACTCGGGGGCATATAACAATCGTTCTCTGCATCATTGGACACTTCATTGAGCACACACAAAACCCTTATGCATTCTGTTGTCCGCCTACCCCATTTCTTGTTTTGCTATATAGGTCCGAAGCCCCCCCCCCTCTCCCCCTTCCCTTTTAACGGGGCCTCACCTGCTCTTCGGCCGTTAGCAGCTAGCTGCGCCCCCCCAGTCGGAAGGGGGAAGGGGTCCTTAGGGTCGTTGCCTAGCGCAGAAATGAATCATCCAGTGTGCGTCCCGTCCGCCTGGCCCAACGAGAGCACGGCAGGGTGGGGGGGGGGGGATACCGGGGAGAGGGGTAAGGGTAGGGAGGGATCCAATACACAGTTTGCACGGGTCTGCTTTTGCCCTGCCGCTACCGTTGCTGTTGCACTGCACCGGTAAAAACGACGTCCCGCGGGTTTCAAGCTGCTGTTTTGGAAAATCCAAGGCATGCATTTCTTCCATAATAGATGCTTGGCTGTTTGAAAACCAGGACGTCGTCTTAACCGTGTCCTACACAACAGAAGAAGATTTTTACATTTTTACTCGGTGTTGGTGTGACGAAAATTGCAATAACTACTCGCTGGTCTACACTCGGTAGTCCTGATTTTCCGGTATGTTCCTCGGCCCTGTGGTCCTCACCGTCTACAACGATCGATCAGAACCTCGGCGGCGGCGGCAGTCTCGGGTCGGCCCGGGTCGCTCTCCCTCACCCCCGATGACGCCGTCCTCGACGACAACGCGACCCGACCAGGCGACCGCTAGGAGGCGCAAAGAACGGAAAAATGTTTCTGCGAGAGACGCCGGCGCGCTTCCTGCAGGACAGCCCGACGTTTCACTTGCGTGCCCGCGCCTCGCCGCACGACGGGGCGCTGACATCCCCGACAAGCTTATTTTATTAATAGAATTTTCACTACTCTCTGCTGGCTGCTCTTCCCGGCGCTACGGCCACCTTTACGACGTCTTGATGATGTTGGTGGCTCAGCCGCACCTGAGAGCCGAGCAGGGTGAGGAAGCTATGCGCCTCTCTCAGGGGGAGGGGGGG